CCTTAAACTTTAGTATCTCAAATTAATAAATGTCTTATTATGTACAGATGGGATGTAGAGGGAGACCAAGTAGTTTAAAATACTATTTCAACTTCGAGGCATTATAATGCTTATTACTTCCATTTCGTCAGAAATAACTTTATAGAGGAGGTAAGCAGTGTGGTCAATGGACCATCTTCAGGATGCAAACAGAGATGCTGTAGTACTTGCCGGTGGTTCTTTATACTCACGCTCTCCTCAGGGCCATTATTTTAATATAACACTTGCATTATTTCCCTTTCTTAAACACCCTTCTGACCAGGCAAAATGTTTTTAAATTCTTTGTTTCTCCCTTTTACTGTACAGAAAGCCAAATTAGACACTGCCCTGAGGGTCCTCGGCTCACCCCCAATCCTTTCTTAAAGTGTTTGCAGCTTTGGCTGAAATAATCCAAAGGAAATAAAATGAGATAAAATAAAGGCAATAGTGTCACTTGTTTATTTCCTCGGGTCACACATCCTGATTTTTCTATTTGTATCAGCAAAGAAGGAGGTCTGGTCCTTAGTAGTCTCTGTAGCCACAGAGAAGGTTTTGGCAGCATCTCTGCAGCCGTAGAAACACATTCAGAAGAGTTCAGGTGACCCAGTGCAGTCAGTGAGGGTCGGCCAATGATTTTGGTGCGCCGCTCTGATAAACCTGATGTAGGTCAGATTTGTGTTAGAATTTCACCTACCATTCTCTTTTCTTCTTAGTCTTATTTTGTGTGGGGGGGAAGAAAAGGTAGTCTTTATAAAATTTCTTATTTTGTCGTTAACATCCTAACTTACTAAGAAAATCCCAACTTAAAAATGTCCCAGACACTTATATATATATTCTGATAGCAGCCTCACTTGACAGCTGATTTAAATATATAATTATATTTTTCACAGTTGCTAATTAAAAAAGCAATGACCAAGAAAAGCAATAGTTTGAACTCTACTTTTTAAGTTTTAAACTCTGAATTTGAATTTTAGATAGTAAATATGTTAAGTCTGATGGTAACAAAGTGCATAATTTATCATAACATTTCACCTGCTCCTCAGATGTTCCAGCTAATCTTAATGTAACAAATATGATTTTAGGTGAGTCACATGGAAGTTAGCTACAGAGAGGAGGACATTTCCTTTGCAAATGTTTTACTGACTCACAGAATTTTCAAGTATGGATTTAGCAATGCTAGGCTACATTTGACTTGTTAGATCATATTGTGAATTCTTATTTCAAGTAAAATTTTGTGTATTCATGGACAGCTCCTATTTGTTTCCTTGGTATAGACAAATAAACTGAAGGCCCCGAAAAATCAACATTATCTTATTCAGTGTCAATGCCCTTGGCCCCTAAACCATCAAAAAAAACAAAAAACAAAAAAACAAAAAAACAAAAAATGGAGTTGCTAACAAGTAAAGTAGGCTTTTTAATATTTAATCTTTTCTACTCCAATTATTTTCCAATAGGTATGTTAACAGTGGTTCTCAAACTTGAGTGGCATCAGAATTGCCTTGATAAAACACAGATTACTGAGCCCCACCCTGTTTTTGCTGATTCAGTAGGTTTGGGGTGAGTTCCAAGAATTTGTATTTCTAACAAGTTTCCTGGTGATACTGATGTTGCTCGGTCCTGGGATCACACTTTATCAAGGGAAAGGGAAGAAGAAGAGAGCCTGGATAATTTATACACTGGATGATGAGCCCTTAATTACAGAGAGATGTATGAAAAGACGTATTCTAAATCAGGAAATACGGTAACTGTGAGTTATTCCCACCACAAAAAGATTTTTCACTTTACTAAATATTAATCGACTACAACAGAATTACTTTAAATAATGTTTTCCCCTGGTTTAAGCCTCTTCTTCTAGTTGAAGCTTTACTGATCCTGAGCATTTGTTGTTTTAAAAATAGTTTACCACTTTATTGGTGTGGGTTTTCTGTAACTGCCACAAATGCTTTTAGAATCAGGCAAAAATATAAGTAGATCTGTATACTACATTTCCCAAAACTTGATAGACAAAAATTGGAGGCTATTTCCACTTTTTCGCTGCAATGTAGTTCTGACAAGTACACTAAAAAAATAAAATGAAGAAAGAAAAACATGTTTTTTTACTGAGATGTTTAAGAAAACCAAGAGCGTCAGATTGTCCTTTTTCACCAGCATGTGGCACTCGGCTGTCAGTGAGGCAAACTTCAGGAACCACCAACTGACTTCAAGGTCCAGAGTGGAAACAGGCATTTTCAATTGACCTCGAATAATTGAACAAGCAAAACCGAAAACAGTAAAAATCAAGAGCTTTAGAAAGCTGTATGGGTACTTTTGCAGGACTATATCTGCGAAATTAGGTAAATCTTAATTTACATTTCTTTGTTTTTCCTTTCTAGAATGATTCTAACTTGCCATGAAACTGAACCAACTACCTGGTTCCAGAAGTTCAGACCTTCCTGATGACCGCAGCAAAGTGCTGTAAGGGGAACTCGTGGCGATGCCTCTGGATTGACAGGTACCTGGTGTCAGGGGAACCTGGATTCTGTTCAGCTTTGCCCATTATTAACTTTCACTAAAATCAGTGAGTGGATATTCAAAAAATACCAGGTTCTTTCCCCCACTGTAAGCCCCATGATCGTGGGGGACAGTTCACGAGCACCTAGAAGAGTGTTGGGCATATATAGTGGAAGTGCAATCTGTGATTGCTGAATGTATAAAAGTTAAATGAAAATTTACTACTCGACCTATCTGGGCATTGAATATTTCTCTTAAATACATGAAATTCAGATTACTATTCCAGTTTTTCCAAACACAGATATTAATACTTTAACTCATAGTTTTAAAGAATACTTCTGTGTCTAAGGCAGGTAGTTTATAGATAAATGATACAAAGATCGTGCTCTGAAGATGCTTATAGTTTAGTAGGAGACATAAAGTGTCCATAAATTGCTATAAGACTGCGTAGATACTATATTCCCAGAAAGAATATTACTATGAGGTAGTGAACTTTAATCGTGTAACTGACAGCTATAAAAATAGTTCTGGGGAACTCAGAAAAATCAGAAATAGCTTCCTTCTGGGGAAATCATGAGAGGTTTAGGGAGGAGATGGCAATGGGCTTGGGCTTAGGCTTGGCCTTGGAGAGGGGGCAGAATCTGCATCTGGGCAGGTAGGAGGAGGAAGGAAAAGGCACTGGTCAGAGACAGCCTGTGCCGGAAGGTGGAGCTCTGAGGGCCAAGAAAGAGAAGTCGTGCAGTTTGCACTTAGACTATATGACATGGCAAGTAGAAAATAAGGACAGAAAGTTGTGCTGAGGATCTTCACTGGTCTCCCAAGGAGTGGAGAGTCATTTTCAGGTTCTGATCAGGCAGACTATGGCACTAGTGCTTCTGGAAGATTTTCTGTGCAAGATAAACGGCAGGAGACAGTTCAAAGATTAAAGTACCAAGCCAGGGACATGTACCGAGGACCAGCATCGGGAGAATGGCAAAGAGACAGATGGATGGGGACAGAGTCTTTACAGGGACAAAGCTCGTCCTTGGCAATGCCCTGTATGTGGACTGTAGGGTAGGGGTCAGAGGGTGCAAAAGTTTTAAGTACGAGTGGCTAGAAAGATGGTGGTGGCTAAAAGGACGTGGTTCCCAGAGGACAGACTGTAGAGGTGTTAAGCTTAGATCCCAGGGAAATCCCTTGAGTAGACAGGACAGACGCTAGACAGTGGATATACCAAGGCAGGGCGGCTCCCTAATGGGTGGGGTTATGTAACCAGGCCAGGGGACGCTTCTCAGCATTCACACACTGTCCTGACAGCAGCACCCCCTCGGCCACTGCCGCTGCCACCCACCCTCCTCCTCCACTCCTCCCACTCCTGTCTGATATGTCTCCTGCCTAATCTCCATTGTGCTTGGTCAAAAAAAAAAAAGCAGGGGGAGGGGTGAGAACCGTTGTGGGTTCCTAGAGGTAAAAGGAATCTCAGAATATTGAAGAAGCAAAGGAAGGAGCTATGTCACAAGAGAGAAGATAAACACTGGTAAAAGATGATGACTGAGCTAGGGGTCTTGTCCAGTTTCTCAATTAGCACTTCTGGGGTCTAAGGAGAGTAGATCACTAAGATGAGGCACTGGGTAAGAAAAATTTATTATTACTATTATTTTTAGTTTGCATTATAGAGGACTTGCAAGAGTAGTGGGGATAGAGGTGTTTCACAACAGGGGAAATATGAACTGTCTCAACTTCTCTCATCTCCATCCAAATCTGCCCTCTCATTCCCCAATCAGCCAGGTGGCAACTGCTTGACTGATGAAAACCATCACAATAAGGTGTGATTTTGAGGTAAGACCTAGAACTAAGCTTGGCACAGAGTAGGTGCTCAATAATATTTGTTGAGTGAATGTATTTATCAAGGCTTAATTAACCCCAGAGCACTTGCCCTTTAAATAAAAAGAGGATAGAAATAAGTAAAATGAATCCCTAATTAGAACCTCTTACTATTTGCCCATCACTGTTTCTCAATGTGGGTGCTAAAAGCACTTTGGATAGGAAAATTCTTCACAAGTGGCCAATTCTTCCTGAAGGCTCTGCAGATTGTAGGAGGCTGGGATGTCCAGTACTGGGCTGGTTGCTCATTCTAGGCTCCATGGTACCATTTATTTCTTTACTATTACTTGTCTTATCACTGCCTATTTGGAAGTTAGCCATTTATTTGTCATACCATCTACTAGACTGTAAGCACTATGAAGGTAGAACATGTCTGGCTTTTTCATAGTCTCCCAGTGAGTGGCCTGCAACAAGCAGGGATGCACCAAATAGTGGTCATATGTGGTTAGTTTCTTTTTTTATGGGCATTTCTCATCTCACCATTAGACTATGACACAGTCATAGTCATAGCTATGACATAGCTGGTGTTCCAGCTTTCTTCACCCTAATCACCAAGACTTGCATATGATAAAAACTCAATAAATTTTGTTAATAATTTGAAATTTTTTAAAAAGTACAATGTCATATACCTCTGATACTTTAGCTAAACTGACAAGACAATCTTTCATCATATGAAATACTTGAAAGTAAGACCTGAAATTATAAAAATACTAGAAGAAAACCTAGGGAAAACTCTTCTGGACATTGGTCTAGGCAAAGAATTCATGACTAAGACCTCAAAAGCACAAGCAACAAAAACAAAAATAAACAAATAGACTTAATTAAACTGCAAAGCTTCTGCACAACAAAAAAAATAATCAAGAGTGAACAACCTACAAAATGGGAGAAAATATTTGCAAACTATACATCTGACCGGGAACTAATATCCAGAATTTACAAGGAACTCAAACAACTCAAAAAACCCCACAATTAACCCCATTAAAAAGTGGGTTAATGACAGGAAAGACATTTTTCAAAAGAAGACAAATGGCAAACAAGCATTTGAAAAAATGTTCAACATCACTAATCATCAAAGAAGTGCAAATTAAAACTACAATGAGATTTCATGTTATACCAATCAGAATGGCTATTACTAAAAAGACAAAAAAATAACAGATGTTGGTGAGGATGTGGAGAAAAGGGAACTCTTATACACT